CAAGTTGACATTTAAAAATCTAGGAAGATGTAGAAAACTGGAAACTATGATGCACACGGCTTCTGCCTGAAAATTGGTCTTACTTAAATTCTCAAAAAGACACTAAAGCAACAGGAGACAATAAGAACTCACTACCTACTGCCATACGGAGTAGCACAGACTTGGAGATTGAATAAGAGAAACCTATTATTGCCTCAGAAAGATGGTAGGAGGCTGGAAGTCCGGGCTGAGATCAAGGCGGTGGCACGGGCTGATCCTCCTGAGGCTCTGTCCCTGGCTTACGGTTGCCATCTCCACGACATCCATGCACGGTCTTCCTTCTGTGCATGACTATGTTCTAACCTCCTTTTCTCAGAAGGACACTAAGCATGCTCAGTGCAGGCTCAACCCCAGTAACCCTCTTAATGCAATCACGTCTTCAAAGACTGTCTCCAAACAGTGTCACATTCTGAGGCACTGTGGGTATAAACACAGGGGAACACAGTTCAGCCTGTCACATGGGGAGGCACATTGTCCTACTTTATGTTAACATCTCTGTTTTAGAACTGCTTAGAAATGAGATAATATGTTCAGAATGCTCTCTTCTGTCTGAATTCTTCCTTTTAGAATGATGATGAAATTTATTCATAGGTTTGTATAAATCAGTAATTTCTTCTTTATATTTTTACAAGTATGTAGTACAACTGGTATATTAGGAAATATATTTTGTTCTTTATTCACTATGCATTCCATAGTATGTATCTAGAGTCTCTTAATAATAGACTTCTTTTCTATTTTCAGGTTTGGATACCTTTAATAAAACTGCTATGAACATTCTTATGTATCTGTGAAATTCTTATTTCATTTCACATGAGTAGTCACCCAGTATTAAAATTGTTTGCTCAGAAAATAAGGATATGTTCAGTTTTACAAGGCCAGAACAAACTTCTTCCAAAGTGTTGGTCTGATTTTACGCTCATAGCAGCAATGTGTGAGAGTTCTGGTTGCTTAATCCGTGTCCCAAACTCTTGGCAGTCCAGAGTGACCTTGTTCTGTGATGACAGTGGGGAACATCACTCAGCTTACACTTCAGATGAGAACCTGCCCAACAAATGTACTTAGTAGAAAATCCCAAGCACCTGTGCTTTGTATTTGCCACAGTATTTGTTTCAAAGTCGTACTCTTAAGTGTAGCTCTCATGGTGCACATGACAGAGGACTAGAGGAGACCAATGGCCATTGGTTCCTAGCCTGGGGATGTTTATTCATTGAATCTGAAATGTCCCCCAAAATCTCATCAAGCTAAAAGCTTTGTCCCAGTACAGCAATATTCAGAGATGACGCTTTTGTATTAATTCATTGATGGATTCACAGTTTGATGTGATATTGGAAGGTGATGGAAACTGAGCAGGCAGCATGTCATTGAAGAGTAGAGGCCCTGGTGGGACAGGGGTTTCCCTTGGGCAGCCATGAGATGAACATCTTCCCTGCACCGTGCACTTCTGCTATGATGTTTCTACTTTGTAAGGGACCTAAAAGCCATGTAGGCAGCTGTCCATGGCCTGATACCTCTGAAAGCCAAAATAAATATTCACTTGATTGAGATGCTTTTCTTAAGTGCCACAGTTTCCTAAATCTGTCTAATTCGGGAGCTCTTGTAATAGGATTGAGCCAGACCCTGGGGACTAGCTAGCTGGTTAGCTGGTTAGCTGGTTAGCTGTCCCACAGTGATACTTTAACATCCTGCCTACTTTCCTCACTCCTTTCAGATGTGTCTGACCCGCTTTGTGAACCAAATGCTCTTGAGCCCAATTGCTCTCTCTTATTCTGTCCCCCTCTCTCCATTAACTTCTGGAGCTTTACCCACCACCTCCTTTTGTCTTTTGAACTGCATCTCAGCACCTTTTTCCAGAGTATCCATCACACATTTTATCTCATGGGGGAAAACAAGAAAAGGAAAGGAGAAAACAAAAAATTCTAAATCCTTTCCCTATCCAAGATGCCTACAGATCTCCACTTTTTTGGCCTTCTTTTAGCTAACCAAAAAGTAAAACACTCATATAGACAAAGTACTGAAGATTGTAACAACTGCAAAGAAGAAAATAAACATGATCATGTGGCAGAGAAGGAGGAGTAAAGAAGGAAGTTACCTTTCACAAAAGACATATCTGATAAAGGAATGTTATTCAAAATATACAAAGAGTTCTTACAACTCAATAATTAAGACGTCCAACTAAAAAGCTGCTTAAATATCTGATCAGATAGCTTGCTGAAGGACACATAAAGATGAAAAACACATGAAAATATGGTCCATGTCATACATCATTAGAGAGTTGACTCTATGAGCTGTCATTACATGTGTGTTAAAATAGCTCGTGTCTAGAACACGGATCTCAGATGCTGATGAGGATGAAGAGTAAAACTAGCTCTCAATCATTGTTGGCGGGAGTGTAAGATGCATGTGCACTTTGGAAGACACTTTGGCAGCTTCTTTGAATGCTCAATATTGAGCTTGATATAACCAGAAACTGTGCTCCTTTCAACACAAAGGAATTGAAAACTTATGCTTACTCAAAGGCATGCACAAAAGTGTATATTTCACCTTTATTCACAAATCGCCAACACTTAGAAGTAGCCAATGTGTCACTCAATGACTGATGGGAAAAATAAACTGTAGAACATTCAGGCAATGGAACATTGCTCAGTAATTTTTTAAAAAATGAGCTCTCAAGCACCCAAAGACACAGAGGACTCCTAAGGACATTTACTGAGTGTCAGAGCCAATGTGAAAGGGCTACGGATCATAAGACTCCAACTACATGACAGCTGGAAAAGGAAAAATGATAGAGGTTGTAAAAAGAGATCACCAGTTCCAACATTTTTGTGAAAGAGAAGGATGAAGGGGAACGCAGTGCATTTTCAGAGCCCTGAATTACTCAGTATGTTACTATAGAAACTAACCTGTATCACCAAACAATTTTCATAAGCCATATAACAAATGGAGTGAACCCTAATGTAAACTAGGGACTTTCTTTAACAGCGATGTGTCAGTGTGGATTCCACACATACCACACCCATACAGGACGCACATGGAGAAGGGGTTGTGTGCTTTGGGTGGAAGGGCCATATGGGAATTCTTTGTTCTTCCAGCTCAATGTCACTTTGCATTTTACTGTTCTAAATAATAGATAGACTGTTAGAGAGTTTCTTTGCCCAAAGCCTGGACCTGGTACTGTGACCCACTAATATGTGAAACAGGAGGTGTTTCTGCCTATGTTAGTAAGCAGTTCCTCAGGAGCTGAAGTGTTGAACAAAAGGCCATGGTCCACCACAGGGCACAAGACTTCTGATGTAGGACTGAAACAAGCTGCTGCAGCAGTGGGTCCCAGATTGAGAGGAAGAGTACAGGAGCTTCCAAAAGTGTTTGGGAACTATTGTTTGCTATAGCTTTGAACTGGGAGCAAAGGTCCCTCCAGTTAAAGAATAACTTCATTGTTCTACAGTTCTGCAATCAGAGACCAAAGCTGGTTGGTTCTTTCAGAGGGCTGAGCTGGAGAATTTCCTCCAGCCTGTCTCCTACCAGCTGGTAGTTTCTGACAGTCTCGGCCACCTGATCTCTTCATCTTACCGAGATGTTTCCCTAGGTGCATGTCTCTCCCTATGTGCTAAGTGCATATTTTTGGTAAAGAGAGTCATGTTGATTTAAGATCCAATCTAATCAGTTAATCTTAATGCAGTGACATCTGCAATGACTCTGTTTCCAACCAAAGTCACATTCTGAAACTTAATCATAAGCAGTAGAAAGAGGAGGAGAAATTCAACCAGTACACACGAAGCATATTGCCATTTCAAGACTCTTAGGACAAACTAGATGATGCTAAGGTAACTATCAATTGTAGCTATCAGAGAACACAACCAAGTTTATTTTCTACACTAAGCGTTGCAGGATATTTCAGGACAACTCTCCTCCATGCATGGCTCAGCAGGCAGACTGCCCCAACTTCAGAATTCACCGTGAGAGCACACTAAGGCCAGGAGTTACATGTGGTTTTCTCTGATGCCAGCTTGCAGTGACCCTTCACACTGATGCTCATGTGTGGAGCAAAGGTACATCTGTGAGGGGATAGAGACTGAGGCACAGACAAAGCGTTCACAAGCATCATTGTGTTTATTTCAGGCCATGGGAACTTTACCATGAGTTGGTGAGCAAGAAAAATGATACTTATTTTATGAATTGAATGTGAGACACTGTGTCCCTAAAGACTGCAGGAAAAAAAGGAGCATTACCTGGCCTGAATCTGAGCAGCTAAACCCTGGGGCTTAGGGAGGAAGTAAAGGTTTAGCAGGAATGGCAAAGAGAGCTTCTGTCTTTCTCTAGGATTAGAAAATTGTGAGGAATGACAGAGGAGGAGGAGAATGGAGAGGAAGAAGAATGGATAGAAGCACAGGCCCAGTTACAGAGAAATGGAATCTACCCATTCTTTTCCTTTATGGGCTGTGGGGACCCGGGGGGGGGGCGGGACTAGTGTGTAGTCTTCATCACCTCTTGGAAGTCTGCACAGCAACTCTGTAGAAGCTTAGCATGTGAATGAATCACTGATGGATCCCATGAATGCTTCCCTATCCCCAAGTGTTACATTTAGCAGAAGAAAGGAGCAACCTTTACTTACTAAATGGCCCATTTACTGTGTAGATGGTTTACACGGCCCTTGTCCACCATGCAAGTAGTTTCAGGGAGCTGATTGGTTGTCACACACAGATCTGGTTACACAAATTTCCCTGGTCAGGAGCTAAGCCATGGGAAAGTCTCCCAAATGACTTCAAATGTGTTCTGGCAGCAGCCCATCACATGAAAAATTCACCAGGGCTTCACAAACATGTAACTAAGAAAAAAATAAATTTATAGAAGATTTTACAAGGCTTATCTCTGGCCTACCAAATGATCTTGAAGGAAAGGTGATTACCCATGACAATGGGTGGGCCAATCCTTGAGTACAATTGACCACACCTGTGCCTCACCATATGCCCATCCACCCTAATGTCCCAGAAGACACAGCTATTTAAGGGAAGCTGGAGTACCGGAAAAATAAGACAGTCACTTGGCAGATCAATTCCAGCAACCTCAGAGAGGTAAATACCCAGCCCAATGCCCACTCAAAAGCATTAGAATTGCTGCCTATTTGCTGCCTTGTGGAGCAACTGAGTTATGTGTTTGAATGCGTGTATGTGTGGTCCATGTGTGCACCAGCATCACTGCACACAAATGGTGTGTACAGGACATGGTGAGTGTGCAAATGGGCTGTGTGAATTTGTGAGGGTGCCGAACATAAGGAGATGTGAAGTAGTGGGGGTTCAATACTTTGCCCACAAAACATCCATGTGCAAGAATGTTTGTGTGTGTGGGGGTGAATAGCAGGGCATTCATTTGCATGTGGTATGAGGTTGGTACAGCTTAGAAAGAAAGGTTGTTTCTTTAGTTCAAGAGAAATATATTGGGGATCAGACACTATGGACTTGCAAGAAATGCCTGATAGGAGGGCAAAAACGTCTGACCTCTGACCAGCATTTGGTAACGAAACTCCTTTCATCCTCTCAAAATCCTCCATCTGATGAGGGGCAAGGGAGGTCTCATGGCTTTATCATGTGAGGTGTCCAAAGATCTGAGGACTGCATATCTGAGACGCGCTGCCACAGAACTAGGAAGAGTCAGGATGTGGTATATGGGCCAGTATTGTGGGAGGTCACTCCGTGTGCCCTTGTGTGTGACAGAGGTGCTCTCTCTGAATGTGACCCGAATGGAACAGCACCTACATGAACTCCTGGGTTGTGGAGTTGGGCAATAGAATAGGCACCAACAGAAGTGGGAAAGAAATTCAAGCCATTGAATGTGTACCTCTCCTTCACAGAGATCTCAGCATGAAGGCCCTCCTGCTGCTGGTGTTGGTCATGGTCTCTGGTAAGAGCTGACTCTGATGCCCAAGTACATGGGGAGCACAGGGTGGGAAGCATCCGGCCACCCACTTCTCCTTCTCACAAGAACAGTCTTCTCTCAGTGGGAGGAACAGCAGAAGAGACAAGGGCTTCACACTCAGTCACCAGCCCATTCCCTTCCAGGTTTGCTTCAAGTCTATGGAGATTTGCTACAATTCTCAAAAATGATCAAGAGCAAGACGGGAAAGAATTCTGTTCTAAGTTATAGCAGCTATGGTTGTTTTTGTGGTGGAGGTGGCAAAGGAACCCCCAAAGATGGAACGGATTGGTAAGGTCACCCCGCCTTCTCTGCCCTCTGATCATTTCTGGTGCTGACAGGGCTCAGAGCTGCAATGATAGAACTGGTGCACCAGTGGTTAAAAAGCCCCAGCAAGTACTTCCTGGAAAAATAGCCAGCATGTTGTAAACTGTACTCTAGATCATCCCACAATCATCGGTTCTCTGTCCAGTGTAAGGGAAGAGTGGATGATGTGATACTAGACCCCTAGAGGGGTAGGAAGGCAGCCCTAACAGGATGTCCTACTTCCAGGTGCTGTGCTACACATGGCTGTTGCTACAAACATCTGGAAAGACTTGGATGTAGTAATTTGAAAACTCTAAAATATGATGTTACCATAAGTGGGAGCTCAATCACCTGCAATGGTAAGAAAGTTTCCTGTGACCCCATCATGTTTCCCCAGACGCTGAGTCCCCACTGTGCCAGGGCCTGGGCTGGGCACCAGAGATAGAATCACAAAGGAACACTATTCCTGTCTCACGAAGCTCATGGTTGAGTGGGAGGTAGAGCAACTGCGAGCACTGGGTAGGGAAGGCTGTAATAGGAAGGAAGTGAAAGGCAGACTCTTAACACATCAAAGTGGTAGTGTCTATGCTGAATCCCAGAGGCTATGCAGAGATATAGGGAACAGAGGGTTGGGGTGTTCCCAGAGGAGGACCTACAGGATCACAGATCATGCTGCCCCACTAGGGAAGTTGTGGGCACTGGAGAGGGGGAAAGTGACACAAAGAAGAGGCTGGATAGGCCAGAGCTTCCAGGCCTGGTGTCTGTAGATTTTGTCTGAAAGCAACAGGGAGCTATTTAGCAAAGCAGTGGCAGGAGTGGACATGCAGTTCAGAGACTCCCTCTAGGTTGTTCAATACAAGGATGGCTGGTTAATCACTGGAGGCTACCCGGAGGAAGTCACACAGGGTTTCCATGTATCCTGAGGGCTTCAAAGAGAGGGGTTCCCCTAGAGTTCAAGGCAGAGCCAAGGTGCATGATGCCCTGCATCCCTGACCTGCAGGCAAGAACTCTAGCTCCCACTGACCAGCAATATCCTGGAGCCGGTACTGTGTCAGATCAGGAGTACGGACTCTAAGGGGTTCTTGTTTCTCCCTCCATGAAACCACAGAATAATAAGAATTAAAAATCCCACCTAGTGATGTCTTTCTTCTAATTTCAGTCATTCAGGACCTCTGTAAGAAACTGCTGTGTGAGTGTGATAAAGCTGCTGCCTCCTGTTTTGCAAAGAACCTGTACAGCTACAGTCTAAAGTACGAGTTCTATCCCAATTTGCTATGCACGGGAAACAGCCCCAATTGCTGAGAGGCCCTACTTCTGGGACACCTTGCCACCCAGTTCTGAGTCTTCCACTCCAATACCTTCTGTCCCTACCCCAACTGAAATCTCCCACCTCCACCCACTGTTCCCCTCTGTGTCCACTTTCAGGCTAACAGCAGTAGCTACACCTGGAGGTCGGGTCTCCCGAATAAATCAGCTCATCTGTAAACTGCATGTTTGCCTGTGTGTTTGTGCTCACTTTTGGTCACTCTACATGTGAAAATGTATTATACCACAAACCAGTACACAGTGAACAAATTCAAAGTCCAGTCTCTAGATGCTGGCTGTCTGGGTCCAGTCCCACCTGTCCCACAGCTCTGAACCTCGGTTTTCTCATCCAAAGAGAGATAACACTCATGCCACCAGCTTGATCTTTTTAATTTAAAAAATCCACATAAAAGGGGGGGGGAGATCTCTTATACCCCCCAAACCATCCCCCAACCCCCAACCTCGAGTCCCAAAATGGGGCAAGATGTATTTTTTAAAGAAAGCAGTGCTTATTTACTTTATCCTGGGCCCAGCGACACAGTGAAGTTGGAGTTTGCAAAAGCTGTGTGTCTCCTTCAAAACTTTTTAGACTTTTTGTAGAAAGCACAGTTTACAAAGTAAGGGGTTATGGATGGATCAGGAAATCTGCTAAGGAATGAGGAAGACCTTTGTTTCCCTTTACAGAGGACAGAGAAGTCTAGCAGGAATTAACAATCCTTTGTCAACTTATTTTAGCACTCAAATTTAGATAACATCTGTTGTTTGTAGAGGGCAGCAATGGTTAACATATCAATTAGGTCAGGTTCCCAGGGATTTACAATTCTTTACAGAGGGGAGCATTGATTAACATATCAATTAGGTCACCGTGAAAAAGTGACCCATACAGAACAGTATGACGGCATTTTACAGGTACTTTGGTCATGTAACACAGCCATAACACAAACATACCGAAGCTCTTTTTGCTAGTGTACAGCAAGGTCAGAACAGAAAGATATGTTGATGGTATTTTTACTGGGATTGCATTGAATCTGTATCAGAGTTTTGAGAGAATGGCCATTTTCACAATATTTGTTCTTCCTATCCTTCAACAAGGAATGTCTTTCCATTTTCTGAGATCCTCTTCAATTTCCTTTTTCAGTGTATTATAATTTCCTCTATATAGATGTTTCACTTCCTTTGTGAGAATAATTTCTAAATATTTCATTTTTTTAGTTGCTAAGTGTGAAGGGTGTGAGTTCGCTTATTTTTCTCTCTGTGATTTTGTTGTTAGTGTATAGAAATGCTACTGATTTTTGTTATTGATTTTGTATCCAGCTACATTGCTGAATTTATTTATTATGTCTCGAAGTCTTTCAATGGAGTTTTGGGGGTCTTCTATGTAGATTATCATCTCATCCACAAATAATGATAATTTAACTTCTTCTTTTCCTATCTTTATGCCTTTTATTTTTCTCTTGTCTAATTGCTCTGGCTAGTATTTCCAGTACTATATTAAATAGAAGTGGTGATAAGGGACATCCTTTTCTTGTGCCTGATTTTAAGGTAAAGGCCTTCAGTTTTTGGCCATCTAGTATGATACTGGCTGTTGGTTTGTCATAGATGGCCTTTATTACATTGAGGTAAAGACCACCTATTCCAATTGTCTGTAAGGTTCTTATCATAAATGAATGTTGGACCTTATCAAAAGCTTTTACTGCATCTAAAGAGATGATCATGTGAATTTTACTTTTGGCTTTATTGATATGGTAGATTACCTTTATTGATTTACATATGTTGAACCATCCTGCCTGCCTGGGATGAATCCCACTTGGTCATTGTGTATAATCTTCTTGATGATTTGCTGTATCCTATTTGCCAATATTTTATTGAGGATTTTTGCATCTGTGTTCATTAGGGAGATTGGTCTATAGTTCTCTTTTTTAGTTGGGTCTTTCTCAGATTTTGGCACTAGAGTAATATTTGCTTCCAGGAATGACTTAGGAATGATTGCTTCCTTTTCAATTTCATTGAAGAGTTTGCAGAGTGTCGGCATTAAGTCTTTTTTGTACTTTTTGTAGAATTCTGTTTCTTGTAGAATTCTGCAGTGAATCTGTCTAGGCCTGGGCTCTTCTTTGTAGGTGAGGACTTGGTTACATTTTCAATTTCATTAATAGAAACTGGGCTATTCAGATGTTTTACATCTTCCTGACTTAGCTTTGGTACTTAATATGTTTCTAGGAACCTGTCTATTTCTTCTATGTTATCAAACCTATTAGAGTAGAGGTTTTTGAAATAGTTGTTGATGATCTTCTGTATTTCTATAAAGTCTGTAATGAGTTTTCCTTTTTCATTCCTTACTGCATGAATTTGAAATTTTCTTCCCTTTTAAAAATAAGGTTGGCTAGGGGCTCATCAATTTTATTTATTCTTTCAAAGAACCCACTCTTTGATTCATTGATTCTTTGGATTGTTTTCTTAGTCTCTATTGCATTAATTTCTGCTCTGATTTTTATAATTTCCTCCTTTCTTTTGGCTTTGGGCTTGACCTGCTCTTCTTTTTCTAGATGTTTGAGGTGTAGCATCAAGTTATTTATTTGTATTCATTCTGTTTTCCTGATGTGGGAACCCAGTGCAATAAATTTTCCTTTAAGGACCACTTTCATTGCATCCCACAGATTCTGGTAAGTTGTATTTGTATTTTCATTTGCTTGGAGGTGTTGTTTAATTTCTTCTTTAATTTCCTTTGTGACCCACTGATTACTCAAGAGTGTGTTATTCAGTTTCCATGTGTTTCTGGGATTTTTGCAGTATCCTTTATCATTAATTTCTAATTTCATAGTGCTATGATTCAATAACCATGCACGGGGTAATTTCAACTCTTTTGCATTTATTTAAGTATCTTCTGTTGGCTAATATAGGGTCTATTTTAGAGAATGACCTATGTACTTCTGAGAAGTATGTGTATTCTGATGCTGTTGGATGGAACATTCTATATATTTCTGTCAAGTCCATTTGTTCACAGGAGTGATTCAGTTTTGTTATTTCTTTGCTAATTTTCTGTCTGGTTGATCTGTCCCTTTGTGGTAATGGCATGTTACAGTCTCTTGTTATAATTATGTTATAGTTAATTTGGTTTTTCATTTCTGTTAATACTTGCCTTATATAACTGGGTCCTCTGGAATTTGGTGCATATATATTTAAGATTGTTATCTCTTCCTCTTGAAGTTTTCCCCTAGCCAGTATGAAATGACCCTCTGTATCTCTTCGGATCATTATTGGTTTAAAGTTCACATTGTTTACAAACAGAATAGCTACCCCTGCTTTTTTGGGGGGGGGGATTCTTGTTGCATGTAGTGTTGTTTTCCATCCTTTGACTTTTAGTCTCTCAATATCCTTTTGGGTTGGATGGGTTTCTTGTAGACAGCATATGGCTGGATCTTGTTTCTTGATACATTCCGGCAGTCTGTTTCTTTTAATTGGTGCATTGAGACCATTTACATTAATGGTTATAACTTTATATGTTGGTTTATTGTTGACATCTTATCTTTCTGCTGTTGCATCTTTATCTTTCCATTCTGTTTGATTGTCTGCTTTGCTTAGTGCTTTTTTCCTAAGTGTATCTAATCTGTCTTTCAGTATTCTTTCCAGGGTTGGCTTGGTGATCATGAAGTTCTTCAGCTGTTCTTTGTCATGGAAGTGTCTTATTTCTCCATCACTTTTGAAGGACAGTTTTGATGGTACATCAGTCTAGGTTGGAAATCATTTTCCCTTAGGATCTGAAATACTTCACTCCATGCTATTCTTGACTTTATTGTTTGTACTGAGAAGTCTGCTGTGATTCTGATAGGTTTTCCTTTATGGGTGACCTGTCTTTTCTCTCTGACAGCTTTTAATATTCTATTCTTATATTGGATTTCTGGGATGGTGATTATTATATGTCTGGGTGTAGTTTTATTTTGGTTATGGCTATTTGGAATTCTATATGCTTCACTGATCCTGATGTCAGTTTCCATTCTCATGTTTGGGAAATTTTCAGCTATTACTTCTCTAAATATCCTCTTGACATCCTTTATGTTGTCCCCTTCTTTTTCATTTGTCCCTATCAATCATATGTCATTTTTCTTTGCATCACCTTGCAGCTGTTGAATTATTATTTCCTGATTCCTTGTTATTTTAAAAAGATCTTACTTTTCTGTTCACTAGCTGCAATCTTGCCTTTGAGATCTAAAATTCTATCTTCACTTTTACTGAGGAGGTTTTTACAACTTTCAAAGGAATTTTTGATCTCTTTAAGTCTCTTTGCATTGCTTTATGTGTTCTGTTTGTTTCTTATATTGTTCATCCAGGGATTCTACCTTTTTGTTTAATTGCTCCAATTTTTTAAATGTGCCTTCTTTAGATATGTTCAGCATTTCTTTCATTTCTTCTATCATTTCTTCTTTTATTTGGGAGAGTATTTCTAGTTTGAATTCCTTTAAGCTTCCTGGAGTTGCTTCTTTATTTCAGTTGCTATTATGTCAGGTGTTTCATGTGTATTGCATATATTTTCTTCTGTGTACATAACTCCTAGGAGTTCTTGGGATTGGCTGGAGGTTTGAGATTCTATTTGGGTCTTTTGTTTTGTCATTTTCCTATATTTCTGTGTTTCAAGTTTTATTCCAAGGCTTCCTCAGGGCCTGTTGGAAAACCTCTTCTATGCCCTCAGCTCCTGGGATTCTGGCCACCCAGTTCCCTGGATCAAGAGAGGATCACTGGGGTTGAGCAGGCAGGCCCAAGCCCTATGGTGCAGGTTGAGTGTGGCAGGAAGCTGTGAAGTTCCTTGCCTGGTGGGAGCAATGATCCCAAACTCTCTGGTTCAGGGGATGGTGCAGGGACACTCAACACAGGCTGCTCAGCCACCAGCAGGCCAGGGACCCCAGAGTCTGCCTAGCATGGCAGGGTCACCAGCTTGATCTTATTTGAAACTTAAGGGGCCACAAATGTAAACACCACTTCTGTCTTACCTTCAGCTGTCTGAGTCCCAGACAGCCTTCTCTGCTTTCTGGGCCACATCTGTTCCTCCTGGCTTATTGAACGAAGTAAGAGTTGTCAGAATCAAAATGGAATCACATTTTCCAGGCCTTTGCCAAATAAACACCAGATACAAGGAGCACACACAGAAGACTCCACAGGAATCACGGGCCTGCATGGGGGACTGCACCTGATAA